ACAAATATCACACGAGCGAAGCCGAAAAGTTTGACGCCATCGATGGCAGAAAAGAATTTGTGGAAAGAACATGGCACACCCTTAGGGATGGAATGGTAAGTGCAGCGGAAGAAGTATGTGGAACGACAAAAAGAGGTAGTAGTAAAAGAAGAGATGCATGGTGGAATGATGAAGTGAGAGAAGTTGTAAGGAAGAAAAAAGCATGGTTAGACTACTTGAGCTCTAGTAACGATAAGCATAAGAGAGAGAAGATGAAAGAAATATATAAGATGAAAGAAATATATATGTTCATGCGAAAACATTGATTGAGGAAGTACGTGAAAGGTGTAGAATAGAAGGGGACAAAAGGTTGTCGCACAATTTTAAATAAAGGTCCCGGAAGGAAGGTCCCGGAGTGGTACGACAGCCTTAAGAATGAACAAAGTGCTTTCTAAAACCAATGACGTCCCCTCAGAAAAATCGGACGTCATGCAGCGATGGAGCGAATTTTATAGAGAAATGTATACGTGTCATGATCTTAGTGAAGGATCCGGGGGTGATGTCGTGACTGGCACGCCAGACACGGACCTCGATGATACTGAGGTCATCAGCATGAAAGAGATTGAACGTGCGATTCAAAGTTTGAAATGTGGTAAGGCTGCGGGACTAGACAGAGTTACTGCTGATATGGTCAAGTACGGTGGGCCTCGTGTCGAGGACAGCTTTCATCTGCTGTGCAATTTGAGCTGGCGGACGGGAGGTGTCCTGAATGTTTGGCGATCCACGGTCATTGTGCCTTATTTAAAGGTAAAGGTTCACATTTTGACTGCGCGTGCTATCGGGCGATCAGCTTGACCAGTTTAGAAAGTAAAGTTTACTCGAAGGTTTTTACACGTAGGATGTAAGAGAAATCGGAAAGATTCTTATGAGAGGCACAATGCGCATTTAGACCTGGAAAAGGATGCACGGATCAAATGTTTTCTCTCCGCCTGATCACGGAAAATCTTCTGACTGTTAACCAGAGTTTAAACGAAAGTTTTAACAAAAGCTAGGTCCTGCCTTCAAATCCCTCGCAGAATTTAAATTCCCTCGCGTTTTTAAATCAGGGTAAACATATAAATATGAAATCTCGTAGTTCGGTTCATAGTCGCAACGTTTCTTAAGGGAAACTGTTGAATTGTTATACCCAAAACAATGAACGCGTTTCGTGGTAGATTTAGGTATGCTGCAACAACGTGCTGGAGTAATATACTACCTCCGATCAAAAATTGTAACACGATTCTGACTTTTAAAATAATAATGAAAGAATACCTTTTAAATTTTCTAAATTAACAAAAATCTGTCTCGATGTATCACACCTTTCTTATGAAGTATACTGTGTCCATATGTTATAAAATTAAGAAATGCTTGCTTAATTTTTTAAGCGAAATAAATATTGGAAGTAAAATTAAGCAAGTATTTCTTAATTTTACTGCGAATATTTATTTTGCTTGCTTATATTATGAAATAATTTATGTATATATCTGTCGTTTTTTTTTTCCTATATGTTAAATTTTATTTTTATTTTTCAATATGTGTATGGTTTTTGTATTATTTTGGAGCCCTTGATAAATTTAGTTTAAATTATTATAGCGATGTCTCTGGTGTGTACTAAAAATCTGCGTTATAGTTATCGCTATGTGGTTTCTTGTCGCGCGCCAAACTCACGCAAACTTGTTCAAGCGGTTAAATAATTATTATGTTAACTATAGCAAGCCCTACGTATATATCTTATATATATATATATCTTATATCTATATCCTATATCCTTAAACGAGCAATTCTTGTATATATATATATATATATATATATATATATATATATATATATATATATATATATATATATATATATATATATATATATATATATATATATATGATTTATTTTTAGAAAATGTCTTTTTGTCCGTGTTTTTAGGCAATGAAAAACTGCTACAATATCATATAATATTAGAATAAGAAGGTAAATTTTGACAGTTTATTAATAACTACAAATAGCTTCATTGGTACATTGGGCGGTCACAAAATCGTAATACCATGGTTCGAGCCCAGACCGACCGACCGACTTTTTTTAATTTTTTTTTTCAAGTTCCTTTCTTTTTTGAGAAAATCTATTTTTTCGAGCCCTTTTTTTAGTATTTTTTAAAAACACGAAAATTTAAATTAAACTAATTGCACTAATGATTTTTTATTCAAATAACCAGTTCAGTTTTTTCTATTATATCGATAAGATCGAAAAATATTATTCGTATTTCATCAGTATGTAATTTGTATCTAAATATTATTTCCAAAACACACGAATTAAAAAAAAAGGGCGAGCGAAAAATACCGAGAAAAGCTCGGTCAACCGGGTACTAATATATAAAAATCAAATATTGTTCGGTAGTCACGCAAAAACTCAAAAATGGCGTCCGATTTTGATGACTTTTAATGTCTATTTGAGTGGGTAAATCTAAATAATAATAAAATGAGTGGGTGGGTCCCTGGATGGTTTAAGAACTCAATTGGACCCGGTAGATCGTGCTGTAATCAACACCCGAAAAAAAAAACCCGTGTGAAGCTAGGAGGGATCGCTAGTATATACATAAAGTACCTAAGGGCTTTAATTAGCATTAAGCATTATTTACGATTTTCAGTTTATATTTATAACGTGTTGGTTCCATTGAGTTATACAACACTAGAGGAGCAAACCACATTACCGCGCGTCGAAAAATGTGTAACCACTATCCAAACGCAACGACGTAGCTTTGAAACTAATAACAATTTTAAATAAACATATATCTATCTCACTTACACAAGTTACGTAAACAATATCGTCGCTAAAATTAGATAAAGATAGACACACAAACATGCAATGGCGGGTTGGTGTGGCTTACTATATAAAATTTTACCTAAAATACGCAATAAAAAATGAGTTTTTTTTAAGCTTCAGTTAATTGTTTTTATATTAAGAAAGTATATTTTATTTCAAAATCTTTATTGCGTCCCCTTAGAAAAAAAAGAATACAAAGCTTATCAGATGAGTTAGAAGTACATAATGATGAAATAAAACATATTTTTATAAATATTTTTTACTGTACTAATAAATCAATTAATATAAAATAGGTAGTGAAATATAATTAATATAAAATTTATATGAAATTTTAATTAATATAAAATTATTAATATAAGATATAAGGTAGTAAAATATATTTAATAGATAATTCATGAATAAAATAAAATAAGAATAATTATTTTGTATAAAGGTTGAAACATAGTTTTTATTTTTAAGCAATCAATTTTACTTGTTTATTTTAAAACAAAATTAACTTATTCCATAAATTATACAGTCTCCCATTAATGTGGAAAAATCACAAAGGCGGAAAAGTGGCAACATTGAACCTAAATTGCAATATTCGATATTTTATTTAATTTTTTAGTGTTTTAAACGTTAATATGAATATATAAATTAAAACTTACGTATGGAAAGTGATTCCGCTTGATTTATTATGTTTTTGTGACCTTGAAACACATTCTTTCACTACGCATTTACCCATTTTTTGTTGTGAATCGTTCGGCTTAACTCGGACGGCGTCACCTTGAACACTGAACCGACGTTCGCTGAGTATAAGGCTGTGGCCTTATGTGAAGTGACAACGCTTTGGCGCGGAAATTACTTATCTAGTGTAACATATAAATCAATGGTTGGTTCTATGATCAATAAAGAAACAATAAAGAAAAACAGATTGCATGTTTGATAATAACTCTTATGAGTGCAATATTGCAGCTACATAATGAATGCAGTACGAATGGGTCGACTTGGCCGCTGAAGGAGCACGATCTCACATATTACTAGCGTAAAATAGCACTTAAATGCTGCTTGTTTCGAATGGTTGATATAAAAAACCAGAGACTGTTTCAACTGGAAACGCGGCGTTACATCTTAGTAATTGGGGGCGACAATGCATCTGAATTTTAATTTTTTTTTAATGTATAGATTGATGTAAATGTCTATGGCCACAGCATTCACTTATCAACAGGTTGACTGTGTGTTTGTTTGTCATCCATAATCTATAAAAAAGTCATTAACAAAAATAATTTTCGTTATTCCTATATATTATATTATTTATTTCTATATAAGTGTAATATTATACAAAGATTAAATAAATTTATTATGCAAATTGGCAATTTCTCTCACGCAGATTGAGCGTAAGTTGAAACTTGATGAACTTCATTTCCATAATAATCTAATTGCATAAATTTGTAATAGACGAGATGTAAATTTCACAAATTAATCGCATAATGTTGTTTATATTATTGATAGAAACATAAAGGGGATATAACAACTTTGAAAACTGTCGACCTCAGATGCGGTGCACCCTACCAACTAACGAACGAGGCCTAATAGAGAGATTTCCACACAAATAACCATACAATATAAATAATATCTCAGTTAAATATTTAGTTGACATATGAAACTTTAGAGTATGTATATACGCAAGCTATTGTGTATACTCTAGTAGAGTATGCATAAGTGTAGTAAGTATGAAACTAATACGCACTGGAGAAAATGAAGGCCACTGCCCGACAGTGGGGACTTATATAATGTAACCTTACTTACTTTTTCATTCCATCTATTACAGCCTATAAAAGTCCACTGCTGAACAAAAGCCTCCCTCGTAGATTGCCTAATAAGGGAATTTTGCCACAATCGACAAGCCTGGTGAGCGGGTTGTCAACGGCAGTTTTTTATTGTTTTGAGTTCTTATCAGGAAGATGCTGCTGCCCATCTCCTGCCTGTCTCCCTCTGTCGCCTCTTCCGACACCCACCGACGGTATGGCGTAGTGGATATTCTTGCACCGCCATTACACGTTACAGTTTTACTATGAGGCAATACTTGTGAAAATAAATCTTTATCTTTATATATAGTCTTTATCTTTATATATTAATAACTATGCTAGAATCTGTAGGTGAAATTGTGATCAAATTTCTTTTAATAAATGGGAAAGAAAAAACGAACTAACATTCCACCTCATGGTAAGGGGTCATTCATTAATTACGTAAGGATGATTTTGGCGATTTGTGATCCCTTAATGTAATTTCCCTACGTAAGATTCTATCTCGATTTTTATAATCAGTTACCTTACATATATTCTGAGTTACACTAAAACTCACAGTTTGACGTAAATCAAAGATTTTTTATATTTTAACAGATAATTTAGGTTACACTCTTTAATTGCTATCATTATATTATTATGAGACAACTAATTGAAGTACTATTATATTATTATTACACAAATAGGTGAGGTAGTATTTAGTCTTTAAAATATCATTATTATAATTAAGAGTAAGTTTTTAAATAATCTTAAAGTGATCAAACATAAATCAGTTACACAATATACAACGGAAAGGGGACCGAGTGATTGACGTTGGTGGGAAAAAAAAATAACCCGGAGTACCTTCAGCTTTTTAATTACTACATTAGGTTTGATCTACGCAGAATGGAGTTACTGTGCCTTGAAGTCTTCCGGTGGTATGCTTGGGTTTAGTTTTAATTTCAATATTCTTCGTAATAGCCGTAAAACGGTGACCTCTTTTTTTGATATCTCTAATTTAATTGACCGTGCTGAAATTTTTTTTTATACCAGCGGTACGTGGTTGCTTCGAAAGTTTTCCATAAATGCCAGTCTATCAGATATTTAAAATTGTAAAAAATCATCGCGCCAAAATGATCCCGATGCAGATCCATTTTTCAAATAAACATGATATTTGAATGTAATAAAAAATGTGGAGAACAAATTTTTACGAGCTATATTAAATTATCAAGATTTAAAATTGTAACAATCGTATTTATTGAAACTTGTAAATTCACACTCGTATTTAAAAAAAATTATAAATGAGCAAGAAGGTAAACAATTTTTTTTTGGTTTTATTATTTCATCGCTCTTCTTAAATGACTAGATATTATATGGTCGATTGCAACACAGTGCTTTTACACATTTTTTCTAAGCTATAAAGGCATTGTAGATATGTAAGTATGTGGTCAAAATTCAAGCTCAGCACTGTATAAGTACTGTGTTTTGCCTCTAAACGAGAAATAGACTGTGCGGTAGCTGACCGCAAAGCGCTACCGTAAAGTCTGATAGTACACGTAATTGAGGGAGGGAGGGATGTCCTCTTCATTCTAGATAAAACATATTATTCTATTTTATTACGCGGATCCGAGCTCATTAATTTTTAACATGTATACGTAAAGTAAAACTGTAAATTGCAGGTGTCTGTACATTTTATATTTTATGACGAACATGATTGAGAATGACGAAAAATAAGTAAGGAATTAAATATATTTACTCCGATTTCTGTTAATTATGATCGAATAGAATAGAATATTGTTGTTTAATATAGGTAATTGAATAGAATATTTTTTATTCCATATAGAATAAAAATATTCTATTCAATTCTTTAAACAATTCTTATTGAAAGTTTACTGCTTAACTATGTGTTACGAAAGAATTGACGGAAAATAATATAGCGTTTCACACATTGACTAATGACAATATTAACCAATGTCCTCCGTATCTCAACGGCGACGAGCCATGAAATGAAATATATTTATTCCTTCCCTAATAATACCTAGTGTCCAATTAGGACACCATCTGTGCTGCATTTTTATTTCCATTTATATCTACGACCTAGTCGAGCCATTCTTTTACTTTTTATGCTAATTGTAGGTTCTGAACGCACGGACTTTAATCGTTACAAAATACATTAAAGTATTAACTAAGTGAATTTAAAAAGGTTTCCATTTGCTTTTTATCACAAATAATTAAAATAAATAACTTTTTATCTTTCAAAAGGGACGAGCGCGTGATTATTTATCTCATCTTATTTTTTTTAAATATCTACACTGGCTTTGTTTCCTTGCTAAATAGCTTTTGAACAAGAAAAGCCTTTAGCCATCAGCGGAGACGACAAACCACTTTTTTCTTTTAGGAACCTCAACGATCACCGCATATTATATTGGAAAAATAAGAATCTTGATGCAGCAAAAACTTTATGTAATTTTTTTAACTGGTTGAGGGTGACAAACGAGCACACACTCCGCTTGATGATATGTGGATGCTGTAGCCCATAAGTATCTACATTTATTCCCAATTAATAATCAAATCAAAAGAATCAATGAGGACTAAGATGGAATGCCTAGTTTCCGGTAAAAAGAGTCTCCAATTCTAAATATTCATCATAAAAATACAGAACCATTAAGCTGCTAATTTACGCTGACTCTCTGCGAGAGCGTGGTTCTTCCCCGTTCGAACCGACCCATTTGTGCTACAACCATAATATCCTTCTGAGACCCTCTGTATCACCAGTGATATATGTTGTCTAGATATTTTTTCTGCGCTATCTTTCGTAATGGCTTTACGCATAACGACTTGGATAGACATGTTTTTGTTTTTTTAGTGACATGCCATTTTTCTAATTGTCAAATGGCGTCAACTGAAATCAGTTCAAAATTGCTTTTTTTTGCTGTTACCGCCGTGACGAATTTTCGTAAGGGTAAGCGTTCATGTAATTAAGGTATTTGCTGTAGTTTAGTTTTATATAAGCTTTATTGACTGTATATTTTACACTACTGTACATATTTTGCAAAAATCTTGAATTTAATTAGTCATTTTTAGATTTTTTTTAAGAATGTCATAAGCGAAAATTTTGTCATTAGGCACTTCTTTCTTTTTATTTACAGGTCAATTAGCAGATATAGATATTATAAAGGATTTGATCAATTTTAATTTATCAGATTTTGAAGACGAAGGAAGATATTATGGAGATCATCTTTATGTTAGCCAACAGGAAGCGATACCACCCGTAGAAGAAGAGGAATTGAATGAATCTGATGATGTGCCTCTTTCGTCTTTACGAGTCGAGCCCCAATCTTTGCGCAATGATAGTATTCGATGGAAACTTACGGAAAGCTTTGATTTTACTCCTGACAATGATCAGCTGAATGTTTAATTTGATTTTAGCTCATGTACCCATAGACCCCTTGAATATTTTTCTCAATACATTGATAGTATATCGGCGTCACGGATGCGTCTTGAAATACGTAGACAGTGAGTCAGAAAAGTTTATGTAAAAGTCAAACTATTTAGATTTTATTTAAGTCACAAATATATTGCAAAAAATAATAACATCTGTTCACTGTAAACCGTATATAGTGTGTATACATTAAAGTGCTTAGTAATTATTGAATAAATAGTGAAAAACAACATTTACAAACATTTTATTTTTAAGGGTCATAGAATAAAATGTAGTGATATAATACCGTCTATATAGTTGATTAGATTTGTTATATTATATATACTAATCAACTCAACTCAATCTGACACGTCCGTTGTGTACTAATAAATCAACGCAAAAACCTGCAACATGGACACAACGCCGGTAAAATCCTCAATAGTGAATGTTGCAAATTCGAGTGAGGTTTCAAACCTGGCAGAAGAATTTCCATGTTAACGAGAAGAAATGCGGCAAACCCGCGAAGAATTTAGACTATTCAGAGAGGAACTTCATGACATAACTCAAGTCCGCGCCCTGAAAAATTATACTGACTAAAACCACATTATTTATTCTGTGCTAAAACAAATAGGCAGTTGTTTCGCATAGCGCAAGAGACAGGCGCAAGCGGGACGAAGAGAGCTCGAATATTTGCACGTCGGGAAGCAGGAGTTCCAATAAATCGTATTTTCTTCAACATGAATATTGCAAAGGTTTTGGGGTCCGAATATGTTCGGTCACCGTAATTCTGTCTGAATATGTTCGGTCACCAAAATTCTGTCTGTCAGTTTACTCACAAAAAAAAATGTGTTTTTAGTTTCTTCATTTAATTTTGTTACTATTTTCTAATTACTATCGTAATATGTATTATGGATAAGTACCCACAAGGTATTCGTATATTTACAAAGCTATTAATATGATTTATTTATAACTTTGAAATAATATTTATGAAATCCGACCTGGTAAGAAATGCAAGATGGATACAAGTGGCTCGGGATCGTGTTTTGTAGCACACTTTGGGGAGGTCGTTACACAGCAGTGGACTTGTAAAGAGCTGTAATGAATGATAATAGAATAAAGTTGACCACTTAGCACAGATTAGGAATCAAAATGCTTATGGATTGTCACCCCTGAGGACAAAGACGGCATTCCTTGTACTAGATTAGTAGAGTGTCTTCGATTTATAGAGTATTCGATGAGATATACGTACAAAGTACGTCAGCATCAAGCTGCCATTTCAAGCTGTATTTTTATTAAATATTTAAGGTATTCTGTGTAGAGCGTTATAGTATAGATACAGCATGGCTTTACCATGTTTTTTAAACCTTATTGGGTTTTTCTGTAAAAAAAATCTAAGTAGCCGCCTGGACCCAGAAGGTGGCGGTGTATGCTTCGAAACGTAGGTTAAGCCCTGGTACGATCGCGTTGAATAGTTATTCCATTGAACTCTGAGTGTGAAGGAATAAAGAGAGCACTTGTATTTGCGTACTATCGTGCACTATATATCTACACTAATGCAGTCCTGATCAAATGCAGTTTTTTTTAAAGGAGTTTCTTTCACACTATTTTCACAGATCCGAAGAACCTCTTCTTGAAATTGTAGTAGAATTTAGTAAAGTTGAAAATAGGTAAGATTTGATAAACGAAATTTATATTCTTACAAAACTGACATTTTTGTGGTAAACGAAATCCATTTTCTTTCGTCGAAGGAGTAAATATATGTCATTTTATGGCTCTTCGCCGTTGAGATACGGAGAACATTGGTACATATATATTCATTATTCAATGTGTGAAATATTATATTATTTTCGGTCAATGCTTTTGTATCATATAGGTAAGAAGTAAACTTTCAGTAAGATTTATTTACAGAATAGTGTAGAATAATTTTTTATTCCTTATATATTCTACGGGGAAGGACCACGCTCTTATAGAGTGCCAGAGCAAAATAGCAGCTTAATAGTGCTGTGTTTCTTATGACGAGTATTTAGAGCCGGAGATCCTATTTACAGGAAACGAGGCATTCCATCTTAGTCCTCATTCTTAATTGAGGATAAATGTAGATGTCCATGGGCTACAGCATCCCTTATCATCAAGTGGAGTATGTGCTCGTTTGCCACCCTTATTCAATTTAAAAATATTGGTTGAAACCGCAGGCCATCCCTAGAACTTCCCCCTAATTTTAAACGCAAAGCGCTCCAAATTTCACCAAATTATGCTTTGAAATCGCGAAGTTATGTTAAAAAAAAAACGTTCCTTTAAAATTGTTTCTCCTTCGATATCTCACAAACTAATGAACCGATTTTTATTCATTCAACGTTATTTTTTGAGGTTAAGAGCTGATTAGTTCTTGAAATCGATCGGTAAAGCTATTTAAAAGTTATCGCAAAAAAACAGTATTTCAAAATTTTTATTTTTGAGATAGCTCAAAATCTACTCGTCCGAATGAGTTCATATTATCTCCAAATCTATTACACATTGAGATCTTTAGAACGCCGCAGAAAACCGCATCTCAATCGATGAGGGCGTTCAAAAGTTATGAAACGTTTACATACTTAACACATCACACACACACACACACACACACACACACACATAAACACACACACACACACACACACACATAAACACACACACACACACACACATATATATATATATATATATATATATATATATATATATATATATATATATATATATATATATATATATATATATATATATGCGTCCTAACGTCCACATATTCATGTGGACGTCAGTATGGATATATATATATATATATATATCCATACTGACGTCCACATGAAATTAGTCAGAATAGCTTGCTGGGATCTCAAAACGTCGAGATCTGATGAAAACTTGATTTTGGAAAATCGGGCTGAAACCATATGTTCCATATTTTTAAAAAAATTAAATTTTCATAGCAGGTAGTTAAAAATGACACATAATTTTTGTTGGTAACATTCTTATTACTCCAGTTTAATATGCGGTGACGTTGAGGTTTCTAAACGAAATGTATCCGTTGTTTGACGTCGCCGTTGATGGCTAGAGGTTTTTCTCGTTTAAAGGTCATTTAGCAAGGAAACACAGCCAGTGTTTTTTTTTTGCACTGTGCCACGAGGAGTAGGACTGTGTGATAGTTTTAATTTTTAGTTTTAGTGTCTTGTATTATTATTAAAATCCTTACATTTTTATAACAGGTATTTAAAAAAATGATATGATATAAATAATTACACGTTCGTCCCTTATGAGAAATAAAAAGTTATTTATTTTAATTCTGTGAGCTAAGAAATGGAAACCTTTTTAAATTAAATTAGTTAATACTTTAATGTATTTTGCAAAGATTAAACTCCACGCGTTCAGAACCTACAATTAGCATATAAAGTTAAAAAAAAAAACGATCAACTGGGTCGTAGAGATAAAGGGAAATAAAAATGCAGCGTAGATGGTGTCCTAATTGGACACTGGGTATTTCCAGTTACCATAACTGTTTCTCTAATTTTTTCTACTGTTAAACAAAATGAGATCAGTTACTGAAAAGTTTGGGATATATTTTAGTAACAAAAGAATAGCTCAGGGGCTGATCGCTGTCCGTAAATTCCACATACGGCTGGGATGGTTAATTTAAGTTTTATCTGCTGACTTACCACGTATGCGACAGTAAACCAAAATACCATGAGGAAATATACATATCTGAGGAAATAATACTTCAAGGACATTGTGTGAAGTCCGGTGAACTTTGCTCTATAACTCATTCAGAAATGAGAGGAGACATGTGCTCAGCCGTAGAACGTAGGTAGGTTGTAACTTTACTAGAATAACTAATGAGCTGACTATCCATCTAAAGGTACGTCGCTATAACCGATAGATAACTGCACCCATTTAAAAGTAGAAGATCACAGCCGCATCAAGCATGGAATACTACAAACGCTTTGTCCTGAGACCAATTACAAACGTGTGGGCCATTCGTCTACTGCGTCACGAATCTTTTCCATTGAAATCCCTTTTGATTCCTTATGAATAGGTTGCTTAAAAGAATCCAGGTTTAAGTAAGTCTTTCTTTCATTTACATAGAGTAAGGGTGCCAAACAAACATAGTTCACTTGATGGTAAATGGTTGCTGTGGCTCATTGTCACAGGCAAGGATTAGAATGCAAATACGTTGTCCCACCTGAGAAGAGAGATGAAATGTCTCGTTTCTAGTAAAAGCGGTCTCTCGTTCTCTAAACTTTTTTCTCCACATGACTCGTATGGTAATTAGAGATACAGTAGCATTAAACTGCTATTTTACGCTGGTATTCTATGAGGACGTGCTCCTTTAGTGGTGGAGCTGATCCATTGGTGCTACTACGACAAAAGCAAGCTCGTAGCTCTAATTCAGTACATAAAGAATGATACAGTGGATCCTGGCCGGGTCGACGATGACGGTGAATCATTGCTGCAAATGAAATCCGGCAAATTGGTGCTCATTCAACTTTGTGGTGATTAAAAATTATTTTAGAAAACCCAGTATTTTTTGGTATTTCGTACCACTTTACGGATTAGCCACGAATTTCACATTTTCATTGGTGAATAGGATATTTTTAGATTAAGTCTCTTCAAAAGGTCTTTCCAGTTGCAACTTAGATCTTTTGTTTTAGGTCATTTTTAAGTTTCAAATTCAACTATATTCACGACATGACGAAGAGACAATTTATTTGGGGGTTGCCAGTGGAATTTTTAGGTTTTACGCACATCTGGTGGCCACCTTCTGCACGGTCTTCCGATGAGCTAATTTTCCTATATATTTTTATGGTATAAAAGACGAAGCTCCAGCTATGTACTTGACTTCTGGTTTCATTATATTTTTATTTCTATTGTTTTTTCTGAGCTACAAACAGTGAAGCGATGAAAAAACCAATTTATATTAAAATTTAAGAAGTAAAAATAGGTTGTCATTTCAGTTCCAGGTCTACTCG